TAAGTGACATTTGAATGAGAAAGTGAGCCAGGCAAATAAGCAAAGAGCATTACGGAAAGTTGGGACAAAAGTCCAAAGATCTGAGAAGGGAGAACACTTAGTGTGTGAGGACAGACAAGGAGACAACCAAGATTAAAGGAAATGAAGAAGAGTAATAAAACCAGTTGTAATACAGCAACAATTCCTCTATAATAATTATAATCATACATAATCATTCTTAAAAGTCTTTTACAATCAATTTTTAAACTAATACATGAGAGAAAAATTTCAAATTGATTACCCTGCAAAAATTCCCTGTATTTTAGAAGACTAAAAACAATCGTCTATAATAATATTGCTTGCATTATAATGATACAGAGCATTTTAATCAATGAGTCCAAAGTATTTCTCACTAGATTTCAATAATTTTACATCCATAGTCTCAAACAGAAAGCATTGCCATTCTCAGAAAAGGGCAGTAATCTTAAGACAACTGCTGAAAAATCCTTTTGACAAGACTCCAATTAGGCCACTAATGGTCAAGTCTAAGCACTGTGTGTTTAGAGGAATACATATTAGTGGGTGCAATTTTCTAATCATGTCCATTTCTCACTTACCTGCCAACAGGCTAGTATGGATTAAAAAAAATCACCTGTTTCCATATATGCCATTGTACCTACTATGACAAAGTAGAAAAGTGATTCCACTAAGTCAACATATTTTTCTTATTAGCATTTTTTGTTTAGTAAATGCTAAATAACAGATAAGAGTAGGAATTAAAAAATCACATCTACATTAGAGATGAAAGAATTTTAAAGAGCATTTATATTGGGGGAGGAAAAAAGGCTAGCTGACAAGCAAAATGATGCCCAAATTCGTTCAAACATTTTTATAAAGCAAGTTAAATGTCTTTTTTTGCAAAATAAAAAATATTAAGAAAATAAGCCAAAGGTGCATTTGATAGAGAACATGCCCAGGGTTAGGTAGGCAATTATAACAAAACTGTAGCATTAAACATGCTATAAAATGTACACATTCAATACAACAAAGATGGTTACAGCTACTTGCATTAGTAAAACAAAGTATATACAAACTAATGGGTTCAGCTGCAGTGGCTTGTTTGTTTTGTAATTTCATCCAGTTGCTTAAAATTGTAATTTCTATTTTACCATTAAAGTCTTTTTGTTGGATGTGAGGAGAATCAAATGTTTCAAAACAAGGATGTGAATAACATCTGAAAATGCATAACACAAACTTCATTTGCTCTAATACACATCAGATGTATTCTGTTTTAACATTTTTGACAGGAAAATTGTTTGTCTTCTCATTTAAAGAACACAAATATTTTGCCAGTGATGTTAAAAAGATCATATGGGGTGAAAAGAAACTGTTTAGATAAGGAGAAAGCTGTTTTTTCAACATGCTTTGTTAATCAAATTCAGGAGTCAGGGAACCTTATCTAGGTAACTTTACTATGGCATACAGAAGCTATGATTCATTATGAAAGTAGAAATAAAGTAAACCCATTAATAAAAATAAACATTTTAAAGGCAAATTTCTCTTACTTGAAATAGTTACTTGAAAACTTTCCAAACTAAAAACAATAGTCCCAAATTTTGCAATGAAAATGGTAATAAAAAAAAAAAAAACAAAACTCAAGCTTAAAGAAAACAGAGGTCCAAAGGGTTATTCAGAGAATGGATGAAGTAGAAAAGGAGACAAAATTAATTTCTGAGCAAAACCAGTTCACTGTGGAAAGTAAGGAGCTAGCGGAATGCAGATATATTCAGTATCTAGTTTCAACTATACATTTAATATTAGTAGTAGTAGTACTTGGTTTTAGTGAGCTTTTATCAAATTCAACTGTAATTTACTGTTTTAATTTTTAAAATAAGAACATAAGTCTGATTCCATGACAACAAACACAAGTGTTATGAAAATACCTAACAGAAAGTGCCAAACCTCAGTTCAACAAGGATGCAGGATATCAACAATAAACAAACTTAGTACAAGAAAAAATTAGAGTTGATTTGAATTTGTTTAAAGTATAGAACATGATCTAAAATTGCAGTAAGTGATAGTGGCTACCATGTATGACAAATTTCAGAGTGTTCAGCTCAACTACAGTTGACATTTGAAGACAATTCTAAAATTATTTTCAAGCATCTATTTACACTATAAAATTGTATTCAAAATAACAGCTATCTACATCAGACATCCAGCACCTAAAACAACATCCAGAAAAGAACTTATTTTTCTTTTGAAATCTGCCTGTTTTCATAAATGAAATCTCTCTACTTAAAAAAATCTCAGCATCATTTGATTCTTCCCCTTCTCTTTCTCAGCCTGCCCATTCTTAATACTTAGGCAGAAGTCCTAATACTGGTGACATTTATCCTCCTCACTCCAGTCTCATTAGGAAGACTTTAATTTAAAAATTACCTTTATAATTAGTCTCTTGCAATTATAGCCTAACTGAGTTCCCTGTCTCCAGTTTTGACACATGCCAATACATCTTACAAACTCTCGCTAGGTTACAGAGTAAAGTCCTAAAGAATTCTCCACTTTAAAAACTTCTTTGTTTTTAAGATTTATTTTTATTTATTTATGCATACAAGAACTGGGATGTAGGCCAGACAGACAGGGGTGGGGGCGAGTGAGAGGATTCACCAGAGACAGAGTAGGGAGTAGAACAGGTAGATCTACTGAAATACACTGGTGAGGGGAGCAGGAGAGACAGGAGAGGTCTGCTATACCCTCCTCTTTGGATGGGGATCAGGAGTAGAACTCATGCCCCAGTGGCTGGCAGTGACTGGTGATAGCTTGATAGTGCTGAGACTTTAACCCCTGCATCTTCTAAGGGATCCCCTCTGAATACAGAAAAAAAGTGCAAGTGTACAGTATGTTATTCAACACTTTCTCAATATGTCTTTAGTCTACCTTTCCAATATCTTTTCCTATTATTTTTTTTTATTTCAATGTAGTAATACCATTCACTACAGTCAAAGAAAACTAACTGGTTTTGCTTGTAGCTGTCCAATAATTTCTTACTTAGGTCAGTGTCCATGATTAATAAATTCTTTCTATTTAAAATAATATTCCCCTTAAACCACTCATCCAACTATTAAGGTGCAATTTATTTTTTTTTACATTTTAAATATTTTATTTTATATAATTCTTACATCATTTTTCATTTTTGCACAATGTATGCATTTTCATTTTGGTTATATTCCCCATACAATTGCACCCCCCCTCCTCCTTATTTTGACCCTAGTCCTTCCTCTCCCTGCCCTTTCTCCCCCGCATAGTGTGTCTCTGTTTTATAGCTGCTCGTTGATTTTGATTTTTACTTTGTATTAGTCTTTTTCCTGGTCCCTTATTTAGGTTATCTAAATACCTGCTATGAGTGAGACCATCCAGTATTTTTCTTTTTCTTTCTGACTTATTTTGTTGAGCATGATCCCTTCTAGCTCCATCCACATTGCTGCAAACTGCATGTGTTTACCTTTTTTGAATGCTGAGTAATATTCCATTGTGTATTTATACTACATCTTCTTGATCCAGTCATCTATTTTTGGGCATTTGGGTTGTTTCCAAAGCTTAGCTATTGTTAATAGTGATGCTATAAACATAAGGATGCAGGTGCCCTTTGGAATTAATGTTTCTGTGTCATTTGGGTAAATACCTAGGAGTGGAATTGCTGGATCATATGGAAGCTCTATCTTTAGTAGGTCAAGTAATCTCCACACAGCTCTCCATAGTGGTTGGATCAGTTTGCACTCCCACCAACAGTGCAGAAGAGTTCCTTTTCTCCACATCCTTGCCAACATTTGTTGTTGCTAGTTTTTTTAATATGTGCCATTCTCACTGGTGTAAGATGGTAGGTCACTGTAGTTTTGATTTGCATTTCCCTGATTACAAGTGATGCTGAACATTCGTTCGTATGCCTGTTGGCCATTTGCATTTCCTCTTCAGAGAAGTTTCTTTTTAGCTCTTCTGCCCATTTTTTGACTGGATTATTTTCTTTGTTTGTGTTGAGTCTCATCAGCTCTTTCTAGATTTTTGTGATCAGTCCTTTATCATTAGTGTTGTGTGCAAAAATGTTCTCCCAGTCGGTGGGGTTTCTCTTTGTTTTTGTTATTGTCTCTTTTGCTGTGCAGAAGCTCTTTAATTTGATGTAGTCCCAGCTGTTTATTTTTGCCTTCACTATCACTGCTTTGGGTGATGTGTCTGTAAAGATGTCTTTGAGGTGCATGTCATGTAGTGTTTCGCCTATATTTCCTTCTATATATTTTATGGTTTCAGGTCTTATGTTTAGTTCTTTAATCCATTTTGAGTTGGTTTTTGTGCATGGTGTTAGGTAGTAGTCAAGCTTCATTCTTTTGCATGTAGCGACTCAGTTTTCCGAGGATTAAGGTGCAATTTAAATGCCTTCCTCTTCTACAATATGTTTTCTGTTTTCCCTATTTATGTGTAAATTTCTTCTTTAGTGAACAACTACAGCATCTTGTGACTTTATCATACAATGCTTCAGCCTTTAAAACATGGCTATCTGAGTAGCAATTCATACCTCTCTTACTATATTTTATAAAGTGAAAGTTCTTTAAGGAAAATATTTACAAAGCTATGTACATAATAAGCATTGATATTTATATATCACATATATCTCTCATATATATGCATGCTTACACAAATGACATACATATTAACATTCATGGAGATATAAAATAGTACAATGTTAATATACCTAGTGGATAATATATTCTATTAATTTGGAGGTGGAATAAAGCCTAAATATAAAGAAATGGTCTTATAAAGTAAGTTTTCAAATAACACTAGCTTACAGATATTAATGCCAAAGAGAAAAACATTTAATGCACATATTCTTATATAACACAAAACTCAAATACCAGAACACATCTATTCTACATATATATTAATAATTTTGTTTTCTAATTAAACAAAGTTGAGAAGAGAGCTGTTACTGGCATAATGAAATAATAAAAAGAATTCTCCCTTACTTCGATTAAGCCTTGGAAACCTTTTTTTCAGTTTCTTCCTTAATGGATTAAGCTCAGGCATTATTTCTGGAACAGCTACATAAAAGTCTGATTGAATTTCATCATCCAAAATCTGAAAATCAGGGAAAAATTGATAACCTTAGATTACATGAAAAGTTTTATCCTTCGGAAAATAAACAAAATCTGATGCATTAAATTCCCCTTGTGATTAGAAAACAGATATCAAACACAATTCTTTTCTTCAAGTCCAAGATCAATTTGAACATATTTACTGATTATGAAAACTATTAGAGGCAAAATAACTTTTGATGCTGTCTTTTAAAAATAGTCACAACCATTAAAAAAAAAAATTAATGAGTTTAATTCTTCCATGAGATTATGTTAGGAAAAAGTGTTACATGCTAGAACATATAGCACTGATATGAACATAACTTATATCATCCCACAAAGGTGAATTCATACGTCCATTAAAACTGAAGGAATATGCTGGACATTTTACAGTACATCACATGTAAAGCTAATAACCACTAGCTGCCAAATCACTGGCAAGCACATTGCCTTCCTAAATTTAGAGCATCTAAAGAACTGAATCTATAATTATTTTCACAAAGAAAACTAAAATTCTCTTGCCTCCAATAACTAAAAATAAACAGAGTGGGATGTTCGCTTATAGTTTATTATCCATAATCTAACTGCATTCTAAAAGCAAAGAGAACATTCAAATTTTAAGACATTTTTAATTAATTTGGCAAACAGAAGAATTATTATACTACATAACATTTTCCATTTAAAATTTTAGTTGACTGTAAAATAAACTTTTTAGAATAATGCTGCTTGGACAACAAATATTTTTCCAATGATTCTTTATGCATAAAATCTTACCACACTATGACATTCAAAGCTTTGGTTTGGGGTTACACATTAAACCCAAAATATGTAAACTCTAGCAAAATTAAAGGACCATCAAGGAATTTTATCTTCCTGTTACTACTCTTCCTTTTTACAAATTCTTTATTCCCTAAATAACATACTATGCTCCCCTTAACAATAAATGAGCATTTATCCCATATCAAGTATTCTGCTGAGGATTTTACATGGTTTAAATCATTTACTCTTTCCGATAACCCCACAAGGGAAGTACTAATAATGATCATATATTCTGAAAAAGAAACTGAAGACTTGGGAGGATGAATAACTGTGTATCTTTAAGAGGTAGGCCCAGAATACAAACACAGGTAGTGTGATTCTAGAACCAGGGCTCTCTCTGTTATACATATGAAAACAGAAGAAATTTCAAAATGTCTAAGAATTTTATGTAAAGTTTCTACTCCAAGACCTTCTAATAATGATTTGAGGACATATTCCTTTGAACTAAATTTAAAATTAAATATAAGGTTATGCTATAATTAATCTTAATATCATATATTGGAATAATACAAAACTATATCAAAAGAAATCATGCTTTTAAGATAAGTAAAAAAAATGATTTTAAAATCCCTTAGATCCAACATATTTGTGACATGCTTTTCAAAATAAAACAAAATGAATTTAGTAAAGGTCTTACCTAAGTAATGACTAAAAGTATTGTAAATTTATCCTACTAAGTATAACACTAAGTATAACAGTATTTAAACTACAAAAAAAAGAAACGTGAAAAAAAACTGCAGCCATGATACTATTTACAAAACTGTGCTGAATTTACTTCATAACCTGAATACCTTCTAAAAATAACACTAAAGATTTTTAAAAGATACCACAGGGTAACTTGCAAAAACATACCGTCTATTACACAGAGTTGGCATTTTCCCTCTAACTACAGATCACCACTATGGATTCTAATGAGAAATTTTGTCCCTGTGATATTTTATTTACCAAATAATTTCAAAATGTACTTGCTTTCCTTATTTGGGTTACTTTTTCAAATATGTTTTATTTAATGAACTTAAATGCTGCAGACTACTTTCTGCACTCTATGAGCTTCTTTCTTGTGAAGTAACTTCTCAGTTTTTAAGGAGCAGAGCTATCTATCTGAACTCCATTGTTGCTATGACAGTTCTACCAAATACTCTTCGGCTTGTAGAAAGAAAACAGATGGAAGGCAGAACACAAATATAATAAGAGTATTTTTCCGACTCCAGAGACCAAGCTCTATTTTCAAAGTCTAAAGAATTTGTGGTATCGTTTTTTAATATTAAAGTGATTTTAATAAATTAAAATTAAAGATATCAGACAGAATTAGGTACCAGTCTCTGACTAACTCTGACTCTCCCCAGGAGAATCTCTTTAAAAATACAGAATCACAAAAATGTAGAGTCCTACTGGAATAGGAAAGAACAACTACAAGCACTGCTGTACATCCCAAATGAAGGGTTCAGAGTTGAAACTAACTCTGAACACGTGTTGCAGTGGCTCCCAACAGCTTCATAGGTTGTCTTAACCCCTTTTGCCAAAACAAAAAAAACAGAAAAACAACCCTAACCCTGAATAAAAATCTGGATACGGAACTAAAGATAGATTTTGTATCACTTTTTTCCTGTACTAAAAACAAAAAGAAAAGAATTCTATCACTTAAATGATTACATTTAGATGAAAGGATTTTAGAGAATATTAAGGAAAAACATTTGCATTTTCAGAAATAACTGAAAATTCAAGAGACATGACTGTTTTTCCCACCTCTTTAAAAAATGGTTGTTCTTGTTTCAAACATTATTTTCAAATTGTTGCTCTTGTTTCAAATGTTATTTTCTCAAGGCAGGCTACACAGTCCTTTGCTGTTTCCATTCTGAGCTTAAGTCACTTTGAACTACTGGGTGGGTAAAAGTTATGAGTAACTGAAAGTCCTATTTATAGAAGTCAGATACTACCGTTTACCATTTACAAAAGTTAATCACACTTTTCAATCTAAGAAAACAAAACACATATTAGATCTTTAAAATATAAATAAACACAGGTATCTATGTGTACTACCTTTTGGATTTCATTTTTTAATCTTACATTCATAACCAAAGTGTTAATGTTCTTTCTAGTCTACCCACAAAACTCTCACAAATATACAGGAAGCAAAGAAAAGCAATCAAAATATAAATCCAGCATAATTAACATAAGATGATCTGGATAGTTTCATCTTAGCTTGATTTTGAACTCAAAATATTATGAAGGGACCTCCCTGATGGCACAAGGGTTAAGCCGCAACCTATGAAACAATCTGCAGCCACTGCAGCACGAGTTCGATTCCCAGCCAACAAGGGAGCAACCCACATGGCGCAGCAGACCTTCTCCTGACTCACCCGCTGCTCCCCTCAGCAGTGTACTTCGGTCAATCTGCCTGTTCTGTTCCCCACTCTGTCTCTGGTGAATCCTCTCACCCCCTACACCTCTGGCCTGTACCCCAGCATAAATAAATAAATCTTAAAAAAAAAAAACCCACAATATTATGAAGAATTTTCCCTGTTGTATAAAAGTTAGCCATTTATTAAAACATATGAGAAATGTAGTTAAGTTTCACAAGTAATAAACAGATGGCAAAGATTAACAATTTCAAAGAATATGAAAACAGCACAGTACCTTCTGAATAAGATCAGTTCCTCCTGCAAATGCAGCTCCATTTTCCTCTGCTATTTTAATCTCTGAAGCATTCTATCAAAATACAAGTTTGATTTTGATTTTGATTTTGACAAAAAACTATGAACCAGAGACACTTTTTGGGGGGTGGGGGGCGGGAAGGGAAGGATTGGGGTCAGAATGGGGCTTTTGCAATTGTATGGGGGAATATAAAAATAAAATTTATTATTTAAAAAAAAAAAAAAAAAACAAATACAGTGTGAGATCCTAGACTAAAACCTGGGACAGAAAAACAATAGTAGTGGAAAAACTGGTAAAATCTAAGTAAAGTCTGTAGTTTAAGTACCAATGTTAATTTCTTTATTTTATATAATTATACTGTGATTATATAAGTTAATAGGAAACCTAGATGAAGGATAAATAGGAACTCTTTATACTACCTTTGCAACCCTTCTACAAATTTAAACTTATTTTAAAATAAAAAGTTAAAAACAAACAAACAAAAAATTCAAAGGCAAAGAATAAATCAAGGAAGATATTTACTGTAGTTGGCAGAAAAATGATTGATGGGCTTACTATAAAGAGGCTTTCACCAGCCCTTTGAAATATGGGCAAGAAATCTAAGTTTTACAAACCCATTGAAAGACAGGCAATTTCTAGAAAGAAAATACAAATAGACATAAGAATTATCACCCTCACCAAAAAAAAATCAAAGATGTGAAAAATAAAATCATACCTCTCTTTTTCCAATCTAATTAGTAAAGATTTTAAAAGATTATATTCAAAAATACTTCTTTGAGGTGACAAAAAGGTACTCTCATCTAATCTTGTTAAAATATAAATTGGTATAACTTTATAGATCATTTAAAAACATAAAGACAACTTTTAAAATATACAGATCTTTGAAGCAAAAAAAAAAAAAATACAAGTTTGAACAGCAAGCTTTAAACAAACTCAGTCTGCTTTCAAATATTGTTAGAATATCACAGTTCACAATAAAAAAACTGTGGTTTTACTTTTAATTGAAATGTATAATTTTCAGTTAGATGCATGAGAGATATTCATAACAAGTTTAGTTTGTGGGTGATTAAACTATTTTTTACCAACTTACACATATTTCAAAATGGGATATTAGGAACCTACTTAGTGATTCAACCTAAGTCCCCATGCTATCAATACATCATTTTCCAAAAGTAAAATGTTAGTTATTCTGCTAACTTAGAGAAATTTAACCAATATAGAAGAGAAAAAAAGTTATAATATGATAGAACAAAAATTTAGACAGTCTGAAAATTCAAAAGAAAAATGAAAATTGCTGGTTATTTTCTTTTGTGTTTCATTTACACCATTTGATTATACTTAACTTTTGTAGCATTCCAAATATATAGCTACATTTCCCACCTTTCTGGAAAGAGAGAATTCTTCCCTTGAAAGTGGGACAGATGGAAAAGAATATAAGCTTTCCAAAACAAATTAGTAAATCTATTATAAACAAATGTTTAAAATAAAAGATTGACAAATAACTGTACTGTATTTATTATATCCTTGACTTTCTTGATATTCCAGACCAGACTTTTTAAAAAGTTGTAGTTTCTGTGTCTTCAGCATAAAATGAGCCTGTTGCTTTTAAAAAATCTTTTTGTATATTTTTGAGGAGACGAGTTCAAGTAGGAAGCAGGAGTTAGATTAAATTCTGTAATTTGTCATTTCTTGTGGGAAACATAATGTGGTAGACTAACAATGATGAAACTGAAGCTCTACTTTAGCTCCATCTCAAACTAATAACATAACCTCAAATATGTCGAATAACTGCTTAAAATAAGACTGGGCAACTGCTAGGATTTTCTCTAACGCTCCTCATTCATTTATTCTAATCACTGATATATGTAATACATAAAAATACTTAAAAAGTTGATAAAGGATACTCACCCCTGTAAATACAGCAACTTTATTAACTTCTGAAATGAATGGGTATGGAAAACTAATAACACTGGCAAATGGTTCCACTTTTTTCTAAATACAAAACAGTGGAAAAATAATTATGAAAAATTCATTCATCTTTTCTAGATCCCTCATGTCTATAAAAAACAGAACTGGCACATTTTGTTTATAATGTTTTAATTCTACCATATGTCCTCTCATTAATCCAGAACTACTCACTGATTGCAATTTTTTTTTTTTTTTTTTTTTTTTTTTTTGTTTATACATGCACTGGGTACAGTCAGAAGCGCGGGAGGGTGAGAGAATTCACCAGAGCCAGAGCAGGGAGCAGAGCAGGCAGAAGGACCGAAGTACACTGCTGAGGGGAGCAGCGGGCGGCAGGAGAGGTCTGCGCGCCATGTGGGACCCTCCTCCGGTGGCCGGGGAGCAGCCGGGGATCGAACCGGCGCCGCAGAGGTCGCCGGCAGCTTTGCAACCCAGCGCTCAACCGCTGCGCCACCAGGGAGGCCCATCACTGATTGCAATTTAAGACATAAGGGATTATACTTCTTTTATAAGAAATCACAAGGAAGATCTAAATCTCTCTTCCCAGCTCTATATTCCCATGACACTTGGCTTTTATATGTACATCATTTATCAGGGTCTCATATATTAAGAGATGTATTTGCATATCCGTATCTTTCCCAGCAACAGTACAATGCTTTCCATGTGACAGATGTCAATAAATGTTTGTTACCTTGAGTTAAATCCACATGTAGTTGTTTGATACCATCAAGGAAGACATGAACACAGTTATGCACACTGAATGACACTACCCTGCTGATCTGTTCAGTAGGTCACTCCTTATCTCCATCATTAGCTCTAAACTACCAAGTGATAGTAAATCCATGTCAGAATGCCAAAGTCGAAAGGCTTCTGAGCAGGTCTATTTTGAAAAAACCTGAACCACCACCATTTTCAGATATATTTAGAAATTCAGTTGGGAAATTCAAAATAAACAATGATAGGCATTTGAGGCACTCTAAAATGGGTGGAGATTCTAAAGGGCCTCAGAACTAATTTGTTTAGGTCAAGGACCTGTCTAGGCCTGTGGCTCAGATTTCTTAAGTAGACTTTCCATGGAAACAAGTTCTAGAGCCAAAGTTTTGGTGCAGCCTTAAGTCTAGAAGAAAAACTACTTGTTCCCTAATTAAAACTGATTAAAAGATTTTTTTTTTTAGAAAAACTTTATGTTGAATAGAGATAACTTCCTGAGGATTTCTTTTCAGACAAGAAGGCACAAACTCTGAGAACAATTTATACCAGACATGCAACTCAGCTTTATTGACTGACATTCCTCTGCCATCAACAAGTTGTAACTGGTTCCAGTACATTTTTTCAATCAGAGGCAATCACAATAATAACATCCCCTGGGGAATCCTAGCTTGTTGTAGTGAAAAAGAAAAAATGTCTTAGGAAGAAAACAGTATTCTTAAAAAGTTATTAGTTTACAAGTGGCTTCTATAAGTGGCTTCTATAACTGAAGTGAAGTATAGGACTTGTGGTCCTACAAGTCTTTGTTTTGAATGATGTTTATGATTGACCAAGAAAGTGAGCAAGTTGGACACTGCAGCATTTAAAAAAAAGAACAGTAACACAATGGTAGAAAATAAAATTACAACATCGCTGGTATAAACTGTTTTTAATAAATAAGAATGAAGAAGTGACCTTGGTTCAAATCTTAACTCCACTATGCACTTTATAACTTTGAGCAAGTGACTTGATTTTTTGTGTCTCAACTTCCTCTTCTGAGATTATTATTGGACTAAATGAGAAAATGCATGCAAAACATTAAGCACTGTGGCTGATAAAATTTCCAGTAAGTGTTGGTGCTATTATTAAACACTTACCAAGTCCTTTACAAGCACTACCTCATTTAATCCTAACTACAACCATACAAACTAAACATTTTCTTTCCTTTTATAAAAAGATGAAAAAACACTGAAATTTGAAGAGGTTAAACCAGGAAAACAAAGGTCAAAGAGCAATTAAGTGGTGATGGTCAAAATTCTGGCCTGTAATGTAATCTGACTCCAGAGCGCATGCTATTATTAAGCACTGAACTAAACTGCCTCCTCCTAAATGCTCAATTATGTTGCTATTGCTATTGTTGATATTGTTAAGTTGCATTCAAAAACTTAAAATTTCTAGGCTGACCAAAAAAAAAAAAATCCTCGAATGAAAAATTAAATCATAATTTCCACGAAAATTCTATTTAAGTGAAAAGCTTACAAAATTTAGAGCTGTACATAAATTGACCTCAATTCTAATGTAAACTCTAATCTAGTGTTTTTCCTTCTTTTAGAGTTTTGTAAACAAAAGTCATCCACAGGACTGCAATATTTAAACAGGTAAGCAGAAGTTCTGGTTGAAGCAAGAGTGAGAGGCAATAGAACTCCACCCATGCAAACTTAAGTCTCAAACTAGGATTCTCAGGAACACAAGTTAAGGCCACAAAATTCATTCAAAGCCTTCAGTTGCAGAGAAGAAACATGACACCCATAACTTAAATCATTTTACAAAGTTACAGTAATATCTTAATTTTAACAATATTTTATTGAAATTTACATCAATAATTCTTCAGGTGGAACAGAAGACATATGTTTATCAACTGCAGAATACTCTCAACTGCAGAATTCAACATCATTTTTTATATTTGGGAAATGAAAAAGACAAGCAGTTTTCATACTAAGTAGGTAAAGAGTAAATGATTTTTTGAAATTTATTACAGGAGGCAAGAATTTAAAAAAATTAAGAAACAATTCATACACCCACTATTGACAAATAAAGTTTACATACCTTCTTTCCCAGTGCCATATCCAGTGTCAAATCAAGATAAACACCTTGCTTTGGATTAGTAAAGTCCAGAATTTGAAATTTCTTAAGTAAGTGAATAGCTTTCTCCACCTCATATATCTGCCTTGGATATAAGTGTCTTAAGTAGACATCATCCTCAGGTTCACCTTCCATATAGGGGTATGACTTTATTTTTTCTACCTCATCTTTTTTTTCATCTGATGTTTTTTCTTTGGCACCTTTTTTTGTTTTCTTTGCAGGCCTTAAAGATAAATTTGAGATTAGTTACATCAATATCTATTCCAAGAAACTTTTTAAAAAGTCAATATATATAAGACCAAAAAAAAAAGATAAAGTTTATTTTCATTCAGAAGCATAGGTTGCTTTACAGTTTCTCTAATTCAACAAATATTAAATGAACTTTTGTATTATTTGCTGTCGACACAAAGTTGAATAAGGCATTGACTGATGCGGCTCTCTGAAGCTTAGAGGAATAGCGGAGACAACATACAAAGTGATAATTTCAATATAATGGGGAAAGCAGTACGAGAGTGTTATAGGGACCTTAAAGAAAAGACATTTTTAGCCCACCATGAAAGGATAGGGAAGGGTTCTGGAATCAATGACCCCAAAATGAATTCTTGAAGGGTAACAAAGTGTTTAAATCCAGGTACATACTTCAGAGAAATGAAAACATTATGACCACATAAAAACTTGTACACAAATGTTCATAGCAGTATCACCTACAACTGCTAAAAGGTTAAAACCGGGAAGTCCACCAACTGATGAATGAATACATAAAATGCAGTAAATCCATACAAAAGAATATTAATCACCAATGAAAAACACTAAAGTACTGATTCATGCTTTAATATGCATGAACCTGAAAAACATTAAGCTAAATGAGAGCCTCCCTGGTGGCGCAAGGGTTTAAGCACAGCACTATGAAGCAATTCACAGCCTCTGCAGCATGAGTTCAATCCCCAGCCGGCCAAGGAGGAACCCACATGGAGCAGCAGACCTCTTCTATCTCGCCCACTGCTCCCCTCGTCAGTGTATTTCAGTCAGTCTGCCTGTTCTGTTCCCCACTCTGTCTCTGGTGAATCTTCTCACCCCCCTCACCTCTGGCCTGTATCCCAGCTCTTGTTTGCATAAATAAATGAATCTTTTAAAAAAAAATTAAGGTAAATGAAAGAAACCAGTCATAAAAAACCATATATTGTATGATTTCATTTATACGACATATCAAAAATGGGCAAAGCTATAGAGATTGAAAGTAGAATAAGGGGTTATTCAGAGTTGGGGAAGGAGCTTGGGAAAATGGGGAATGACTGCTAATGGGCACAGGGTTTGAGGGAGGGTAATGAAAATGTTCTAAAACTGACGTTAGTAATGGCTGAACAATTCTTGAATATACTAAGAGCTACTGAACTGTACGCTTTAAATGGGTGAATTATATAGTATGTAAGTTATATCTCAGTAAAGCTATTATTTAAAAACTAGTTAGCCAGGCAAAGAAACAACACAATAAAACTGTTGAAGCATAAAATCGAATACAAAGGGCACTATTATAAGTTTTAATTGATTACAGCAAGGGTTGGCAAACTTCTTCTGTAAAGGACCAGATAGCAAAAACTCATTGTCTCAGTGACTCAACTCCTGTGATGAGAAAGCAACAACAGGCAATATAAAAATGAAAGAACTAGATATACTCCAATAAAACTCTATTTCTGAACACTTGTTGAAATGTCATAGTTTTCATGGGTCATAATATATTGTTCTTTTTTTTCCCAATCATTTAAGAGTGTAAAAACCATTCTTTCCTCACAAACCATATAGAAACAGATGGCAAACTAAATTTTTTGACTCACTGGCTACATATTGCTGACTCCTGAACTAATGTGTAAAAGGGAAGGCAGGAAATAGGCAGAATATGAAGTTAGAGAACCTAGATCACAAAGGTCTCCTCTAAATGCAACAAGAAGCCAGTGAACAGGAGTGACATATTTTAAGCAGAGTACTGTGGTGACCATATACAAGGAATAAATTTGAAGGAAGCTGGATTGGAGACAATTAAGAGACTGTTCTACCACTACCGCCACTTCTTCCTCTCCAGAACATATTACAGTCTAAACCAGAATAGTGATGGCAACATGCTTAAGATGAGAAGATTAGAGAGGTATTTACAGTGTAAATATTAAAGATAGGGAAGACAAAGCAAAGACTCTTGAATACTTCTTTAGCTGCTTGCTTGGGTGACCAGGCATAGAGTAAGACCAGAAATAAAGAAAACAAAACAAATAGTCAGAGATGAGTTCAGTTTGGGGCATTTAAGATTTTGAGTTTAGGGTTAGCTGTATCCTTTTTCTAAGTGATTTTACAGTTCTTCCCACTGAAAGGGGTAGAATATATTTCCCAGCACCTTGATATAGGCATGTGACTATTTTTGGCCAATAGAAGAAATCAAATGACAACTTCTCTCTATTCTATGTGTAAGTCATAAAAGCATTCATATGTTTGCACTAATAGGTTTGTATTTCTGTCATTTTCATAAGAAGAATATGCCTGGGCTAGCCCAAAGGTGGGAGGATGAGACACATATGAAACAGCATTGGCTCCACAGAGCCCCAGGCTAGATTAGATAATTCTCAGCTGATCTGCAGACTCACAGCTGTACAGCAAGCCCAGACAAGGTCATCAAGGACAACCATCCAAACCTAGCTTAGACCAGATCACTTACAGATGTGTGGGCAATGATAAATAATCACAGGGCTGCTTGTTACATAACAAAAACAAACAAGGTGTTTATAAAATACCTAAGAAAATATGTTCAACAGGTAATGGAAAGTAACAGTGTGAAAGTAAAGAGAAAAGACAGAATTAAATGTGCTATATTTTCTCATCATTACTTCAAATCACATCTATAATCTTTAACCATATAAAAGTTTTAAATTAGCAAAATATTCTAGAAAGATGCTGGGGTACTAGGGTAGGCAAAATATTGACTTCCCAAAGATGTCTATATTTCTACATGGTAAAAAATACTTGGCAAATGTGATTCAAGTTAAAGACCTCAAGATGGGGAGATTATCCTGGTGGGCCTGATCTAATCACCTAAGTCCTTGCAAGCAGAGAAACTTTCCCCTCTCTCATCTGCTTCCAACAGCAATTGGAAGACAGAGGAAACTCAAGTGTAAAAGGGACTCAATCTGCCATTTTTTGCTTTGAAGATTGTAGGGCGCAGGAATGGACGGAGCAGGAGCTCTATGACCCGAGCAGACAGGTGAAGGAGGAGTCCTAGAGCCTTCAGTGGCTTTTCAGGCTTTTATTGGGATTTACCCGGCACACGGCAGGCAGGGGTGCTGGGGGACCAGGAGGCTGGCAGCCCTCTCAGCCCCCAGCAAGTCTTCACTCTTTCTGGGTTCTCCAGCGTTCTCTGGTGGTCTCTGCTTCTGCTGGCGTCCCCGTGACGCTGCCCTCATAAGCCCAATCTCAGCCCAGGTGTACCCATTTACGCATGCCCACACCCTACTCCAGGTGTCTGCCATCAGGCATGCATTTAGGACCGCAGAGTTCTGTCATCTATCCTAATGGCGGGAGGGCAGAAAAGCCTGATGCTTTTTACCTTACCCTACAAAGATGGAGGAGGGTGGTGGAGTACAAGGCAATGAATTGCAAAAGGAACAGTGAGGAGTGATCTCCAAGCCACTGGGTGGTAATGATACTCAATGGTAGAAGGCAGAGCTTTCCAGACTCCATTCCCTGATGTCCTACAAGACTGCTAAGACATAGGTGGAGGCGGCACTTCGGCACTTCGGCACTGGGGCTTCAAGCAGTTAAACTGCTGGCAACAATGGGTATCCTGGAAAAGCCACCAGTTTACCACATGTGGCTTTGGCTTGGACCTTAGTCTCTGCTCAGCAGATGCTATGTGGGGTAAGCAAATGACAAGTGGCAGCTAATAATTTGTCTTTCTCTTTCTCTCAACTCTCCCTTTTCTCATTCCCTATGTAAATAAATTCTGTTATTGTTTCTCCCCATGTATTGGGTTGCCGGAGAAGTCATGAGGTACTTTTTCTATGTTTTTCAAACAAAAATGTTACATGACTTTCCCAAACCAGTACTTGCTTTTGAATTGTGTCTCCACTCTTAAGTAAGCATTTGGGTCGACCAAGTGGGTCAACCCCATCCCCTGTATTTCTCCTGTTTCAGAATATAGGGGCCATCTCCAAGCTAAGAATGACAGGCAAACATTCTCCTCAAGACACCTTGATTTTAGCTCAAGACACCTGATCCATGTCAGACTTCTGCCTATAGAACTGCAATATAATAAATTTTTGTTGTTTCTAGTCACAAAAGTTTAAGATAATGTTATTGCAGTAATAATGTAATAAGGATCCATTAAAAATGGATGACAGTAAAATAATTTTTTTAAACCTCTGAAACCAATCTAACATATAATTTCATTTCACTTTTAGCACTCAATGAAGCCTTATTACCACAACTAATAATAGTATCCTCCCAGCTAATGAGCAATTCAACAGAAGAGCACATAATGACAATGTTCATTTTTAATAGGACACAGGTGTCCTTCTGGACTGACAACAACAAATCAAAGTAGGTGGCCAAGTGGATGGATATAACACACCTCAATAGCTGCCTTGGAAAAACTCCACAAAATCCTAAAACCTTCCAAACTAGAAAACTCACATTTTAATTGTATATTCAGTAAAAGAGCAGTGGAGATAATAAAAAAGTCTAAGAAGACTGTTATAGTAATAAACTCCTATCTAAAATAAACAAAATGAATGAGCCCTAGCTGTAACCTACAGATTTACTTTACATAAATGCTGATTTTATCACTAAATTTTGTATCAGTTAAACCTGTCCATTTAGGGCCTCCCTGGTGGCCCAACGGGTTAAGCACAGCACTATGAAGCCATCCGCAGCCTCTGCAGCACAAGTTCAATCCCCAATCAGCCAGGGAGCTGACCCACATGGCACAGCAAACATCTGTCTTGCCCGCTGCTCCCCTCAGCAGTGTATTTCAGTAGATCCCGCTGTTCTGTTCTACACTCTGCCTCTGGTGAAGCCTCTCACCCCCCCACTTCTGGCCTGTACCCCAGTTCTAGTATGCATAAATAAATCTTAAAAAAAAAAAAAAAACACTTGGGGGCCTCCCCTGGTGGCGTAGCGGTTGAGCACTGGGCTGCGAAGCTGCCCGCAGCCTCTGCAGCGCCGGTTTGTCCCCAGCCCTTGGTG